CCAGCTCGACTGGAGCCTCACAGAAAACCGACGTGAAACTACTCTTGCGTTGTGTTTCGTCGTGTGAATGAGGTTACCGGAGGCCCGCAATTACCCCCTTCCCCTCTCCAGTGTCTCCAATCATAGAACCCGCACAATCCTCAAATTCCTAATACCTAAAATGCCGGCAACGCACTTGTACCGCTACTGGTGTCTATGGACGCCGCCGATTGCTTACTTTCAGGAGATCCGTAGGCTTGTTTACCGGCTCATCCCATTAAAAAAATCATACACAGTGGTGGTAGGGAATTAGTTCCCTGTACCTGTTAACAGGCTTGTCTCTTGAATCTTTATATCACCAGCAGCTTATGAGAGACCACTGGTGGACTATGAACCTCTTCGGTAAAAGAGGGACTTGCCATTATGTCTATACTTGGCACACAAATTATAGTTACAAATTATAGTTTAAAAGGTTCAGGTTTGTCAGAGATCACTGCTGCTCAGTCGTCAAAATGCGGAGTACGGCTCTTCCGATACCCGCTGACATAGTAAAAAGTACCTAAAGCCGAAAGCGTAAAGTATAAATTGCAAAAGTATAGCTAATACAAATAATTGTGTTTGAATATTACATGGAAATTATAACATAGCTGGCTATAGTTGGCACTGTACTATGGGCTGGGCCTCTACATAGTACATACATCTTACGAAAAAAAGAAGCGTCTTGCATGACCGTCATGGTATGTTAGTTATGCAAAATGACTTAACAATCATTACAATTCTGGCCACTAAATAAATATGGAAAATTTAACTTAAATCATATGAAACTAAGGTATGAATTCCCTTTCTGTAAGCAGGTGTAATTTACAAGGACAGGTAAATAATAATAAAAACGTCGTCATAATTTTTCATACCCACATAGTTTACACAAACTCTATGTCATATAAGTCTTTAGTAATTCATTTTGGAAAGTCATACAACTTGAGGAATTCGTGACAATGAGGAGATACGATGACATCATAATGACAAACATCGATCTCAATGTTCAGTTGTGTTGTGCGTACTAACATGAATTAGCAAATAATTCAGTACAAATTAGCCTCCCACGGCCTATCGAAAAAGTGTAATTGGGTGTTTTTATGACCACACTTCCTCTTTTAACTTTAGGTATATATTTTCGGCCACAACATTGTTTACCTCCAAGCGAGGTGGTGACCAAACGCCATCTTATTAAATAGTAGAAGTCTTGTTAAATATCAATTATTTTTCTTTTCTATCAAGTATTTTTGCCATTTGGGAATATATTCGTTATATTACGAAGTCAGTTTATTCTTTGGAAAAATATCCACTTTTATTAAGTTGAGCTTGTCCCTAGGATCTTCTTCTTGTTATTCTCTCTGCATTTACCACACTAGGTTTTTTCCTGTATCATGGCTTCGTTTCATCCAATCATACAAGTTTACATACACATGTCATCCAGACACGAAACAACAGTTTGTGGATCACAAAAAGAGTTGCTCCGTACGGGAACCGAATCGACTACACGTTGCGCGGTAGCCGGTTGCCCAGGCACTGCATCAAACCGTGCAGTCAGTCAAGTCAGTGCAGTCATTATTACGACACACTTATTATATTTCCAGATTTTCCAGATTCATTGCTGGTACAAAGAATTTTTAAAAATCCGAAAGAATACATACTTTTCACGTGACCCAGGTTCCTGGAAAATGCCAGTAAAAAGGTTAAAATGCTTGACAATATTAGTCTCAGATATAGGCCTCAAATATCAACAATGCTGGCTGAACTTGACCCAGTTTGATCAACTTTCAATTATGTAATGTTATCTAAACAATGTCGGTTAGTTCACGCCGCCATATCAGTATTTAGTTTCAGATATTCTATATTACAAGTTACTACAAACTATTTTGCCTGTAGTTCAAAGTTAGCTTTGTCTAGAATTGTGGCTTATGAATGACGGGATAGACTACATAATTTCGCGTCCATTTCCTCGAAAAGAGCCATAATAGTGAATATAGTTTGAAATACTTGCATAAAATTCAGTTTAGTGGCATTTCTAAAATATTTTATGAGTCTGGATTAGGCCATCAGAGCCCACTATCATACTCTCAGCAAAGTTTAGTGTTTTTATGTGAATAATCGGTACAAGCATGGGCCTGCGGACGCGAGCACGAGTAGTTCGCCGCTCGACTAAAACCAGACCCAAGCGTACGGGGCGTCGCGCTCCGCGCTCGCCTCAAAGAGCTATCTGTACAGATGTCAGATTGTGCTCAATTGGGCTGATGACGATACGGACGATACAGAGAATTTAACAGGTTACCGGAGCTCCGGTTCGAAGTGCAGGAATAGGAACGGGGTAGTTATCAGTCTGTAAGAGTCTGCCACTCCGTCTCGCAGCACACGAGCGGAAGAAGTAAACCGTCGATTACACCCCCTTTCAAAAGAAAAGTACTGGGAATAGAACCCAAAGTAACTTTCTCGGCACTCACGTTTGCAGCCATTCAAACAATGTGGTAATGCAAACTACATATTAATATCAAAAAGTAATTTTAGGTACATTACAAGTTTCTGTAAACGAGGCAATACCTGAACAGCCTATACTGCGCAATATACTACTTTCTGATTATGCATATAAGAAACATAATTGCATAAAACTTTATCGGGCAGAGTTCCAAATTCTCTTCGATAGTATTTCAATAGAAAAACAAAATAATCTAACGTTGACCTCGGAATCAAAATAAAGAGCATTAAATCTATAACGAGATTGTCAATAACTACCGGATTTATAAGATTACCGACAAATTATTTTACAAATATTAAAGACAGCTAAAGATTACAATGTTATTTTACATCTATATATATATATATAAATGAATCCCTATATATCTTATTCACGCCATCACATATGAACGGCTGGACCGATTTTACTATTTTTTACTTTTTGTGTTTGTTATTATCAGGAGAAGGTTCATATGACAGAAAAAAAATCTTGATAATTCTACAGGAACGGTATAAAACGCGATTGCGCGTACGAAGTCGCGGACAGAAGCTAATGTTATACATATACGAGCAAAATAATAAATCAACTTTTGTTAAACTCGTATTGCATTAATATTTTAGAAAGTTTATTTGTACAAAAAAAACACAAAAGAAAAATGGCAATCAGGTTATATTATTTGAAATGTGTATAAGTTTTTTTTATTTACTCCTTAATAGTATGACGTATAGTCTAACCCAAAACCCCTTGTTTGGCAGTGCGTCATCAAAACCATAATTACTCAAAATTTATCATACCTAATACTGGTGTATTGTATATTGGTATATACAATCACATCGGAAATGTACAAATATACCCGATATCTCCGAAACCTCGAATTGGAATCAAAATATTGACCTATATGAAGTACTTTATCTTATCATTCGATTACAGATGGCAGCGCCGTGCAAAACTTGTATCAAGATTGTGGCATGATCGTCCCATGTCGCCTATGGAATCAGCAGTATACTGGACGGAGTATGTAGCCAGGTACCAAGGAGCCCCGAATCTTCAACCTGGAGCCCCTAAAGCACCCTTCTACCAGCAACTTCAACTAGATGTCCTGGCCTTCATAGGCTTAGTCCTGTACATCCTAAGTTACGTAGTCTGCAAGATTTTGTCTGTAATCTGCTGTTGTTGTTGCCAAAATCAACCCCAAACGGAGTTCGTTGAAGAAACAAGGTCCTCAAAAAGAGTGAAGTTTGAATAAAGATTAATACTCATAGTTTTTAAGTTGACTTAATTTGTATAGTGTGAATGTTAAAGTACAATTTTATGGATGGTTTTTAAGATTATAATTTCGTTATTTATTTTTTATTAATAAAAATTAATGTGGAATGGGGTTGTAATTCATTTATAACTTTTGCAAATATTTATTATGTTACGCATAAATTACATAGCACTTTTGTTGTTTACATTGTACCTAGCCGGTCGTCAACGCCGCCAGGTGGTAGCTGAACTGCGACTTCCATAGGAGATGCAAATATTACCTAAAATTTTACCATTACTTCAGTTATAAAATCAAACACATACTTTGGTTAATCGAAAAAAAACCTTATGACTATCATATATCTATAAAATCAATTTCAATCACAGCAATCAGTGCTATTGGGTACTTGCCAACTAGTCAAATTCAATACTTTTTTTGAACAGTCTAAAACGGCAGTTTTCTATGAATATTGTACGAGATTGTGTACTGTGACGTCACATTTGATTAGCGACAAACAGCACACATATTTCTTAAAAATTTGCTGGAAAAATACTGAAATTAAGTTGGTCATAAAATCAATTAATAAAAGTATGATTTTTTTAAATATTTTATTGTATTGAACAGACCAAATAATTTATTTTAGACTAAGGAAAGTACCTATTTAGTTAGGCTATACACGTACACAAATGTGGACATAAGTACAAGGTTCACTTTCTTCCTTACTCTCACAATTTAATGGAACTACAATCCAACACGATCGAGGAGAGGCCAGACGCAAAAAATGTTTTCCTAACCCAGGAACTAGGTAGTTACTAACTACTAGGAAACCGAGGTCTATTAGATAATACTACAAAACTGTCGAGGCAATCTTGTTATTTATTGAACACTATTTATCTTGAACACATTACCTTCATTTGACTTATATCGGTTTATCAAACACATTATACCTTACGTGTTGTTACTATTAGCTAACACCCGATACATTTCAATGGTGAATAATTGCATGTTCAATTAGCATCGTATTACAAAAAGTTTCCTTATCTCCACATTAATCTAAACTTCTAAAGTAATGATAAAATCTATCCATCTCAAGTTTATTCCGGTGTTTTTACAATCTATTGTAACTAATTTTAATACTGGTTTTATTGATAAACAACTCATCAGGCTAAAAAGCTAATCGCATTTTAATATGGACGTGTTTATTTAACAAATATTCAAAACTCCGATACAAATAGAGCGGGAGTCTTATCTGTATTTAAAAACGAACTGCCAGTAGGTAGCGCTTCAGTAGACCGAACGTACGAGCTTCAATGAACACACTAGCATAGCACTTACTCATTCCTAACATTAAAATGAAGTTTAATAATATAATAATCCTGTTCTGTGCTCTTTTCAGTCAAGTACTAAGTTTAAATATTTTAGGAGTGTTCCCGTACCAAGGCAAGAGTCACTTCTTCGTATTCGGACCATATCTGAAGGAATTAGCTAGAAGAGGCCACAACATAACAGTGATATCATACTTTCCTTTAAAAGAACCGATCGACAACTACCATGATATAAAGTTGTCGGGAAAAGTATTGGAAGATGTGTTTCCTATATACAGGTCATACTGGACTATAATAGAGACCAGTTTATTCTTGAAGAATTCTGGTCAGGAGAACTGTATAACGCTGCTTGAAAATGAAAATGTACAGCGTCTGTGGAAGACAGAACAAAAGTTTGATGTAATGCTTATGGAACTGTTCAATAATGACTGTGCTCTAGGTCTAGCTCACAAACTTGGTGCCCCAGTTGTTGGTACATATGTTGTTGGTGCGCCAGTTGTAGGTTCATATGTGGTTGTTGGTGCCCCAGTTGTTGGTCTCACGTCACACGTGTTGATGCCGTGGCACTACGAAGACTACGGGATACAGTACAACCCTTCGTACGTACCGGTGCTATTCTTAGAAGGCGGAACTAAGCCAACTTTGTACCAAAGAATTGAAAGAAGTATTTTCCATGTGTACTTAGTATATTTACATAAATTAACATGTCGAAGAAACAACCAAAAAACTTTAGCACAATATTTTGATGATGTGCCGCCACTTGGTGACTTAGCAAAGAATGTTAAAATGTTACTATTGTATACAAATTACGTGGTATCTGGCTCTGGTCTCTACCCGCCAAACGTACGTGAAGTGGGAGGATATCACGTCACGAAACCTAAAGAACTGCCTCAGGTAAGTGCCTGGCAATATAGATTAAATAAGTAGGTATAAAATTTCTACCAGTCCCAAATAAAATTATTGTTTTGTTTGTATAAATTATTGCCTTATGTAAAAGTAATAGTTTATATAGTTACTGTTAGTGAAACAGTTTCGCCATCTAATATTTAAAACAATAAATTAGACCCAAACCTTTCCTATCAAATCACCTCCTAAACCAACTGCATTTTTAAACAGACCTTTATAACTTTTACATACAAATCACATTGTAGGATAATAAACAATGACGGACTCTAAGCGACATGTGATCATTTCCTCATAAATCATAAAGTCATAACGTAGTGCAGTGCAAGTCATCATTATCAAATTCATTCATTACACGGGTTACCGTACATTCATAAACAATCTTCAGTCATTTCTGCATATCATCTAGGTCTGATAACCATCCTTATCTATAGTAAACAGTTATTTATTGAACTGTAACTAAGGCGATAACATCTGCAACTTATCTCTTCGATAAAGTTGAAGAGAAATAAACATTAATTTGGAAAAAAGTAACTTTTCCTCATCGTCATGAGTGTTCAAATAAGGACGAGGCAGTACCTATAATTGTTTAGACAGTTTAAAGAAGGCTACGACCTTATTTTTGCAGCATAATAACCAAAGTGATTTTCCTTAATTATAATAACAATATTAATAAATTATGTCAGCTAGGCTATTATGAGATGAATTATAAAATATCTGTGTATTCCAGGACTTAAAGAAATTCATAGAAGAATCTGAGCATGGCGTAGTTTATATAAGCTTTGGATCAATGCTACGATCTACCTCAACGCCCAAAGATAAATTGGACGCCATCATCGCCGCAGTATCAGAAATACCTCAGAGAATCATTTGGAAGTGGGAGGAAAAGACTTTACCAGGAAACCCGAAGAATATATTCATATCGAACTGGTTACCGCAGAACGATATTTTAGGTATGAATAATTATAATCAGTCTGTTAATTTTTGATGCATGATTTGCAAATATTTACGATGACTTATTGTTTTGCCAAAGTTATATAATCACTAGCTGTTTCCCGCGACTTCGTCTGCGTATAATTATGACTTCTGGCAAATTTTTGTTAGTTTTCTCCAAGGTTAATTGCAATGTGGTGTAACAAATCTGATCAGAATCAATTTAGCTATATTTATTGTGAAATGTTGTTTATTTTCGTGATTTCAAAAAATTAACAATTCCGCAGGGATTTTACCCGTATAGTACCCATTCCCATAAGGTTTCAGGGATTAAAACTCCATTTAAAATCCAATCAAATAAGTACAGCGGTTGAAAACTATCAGGCATCATTTTCCGAGTCTCAATTTGGCTCCAAAGTTGGAGAGGACGGGGGCTGCGTTTAAACGCATCCTCCCCAACCTCGGGGGGCCAAACGCCTCCTGCCGGAGGTTATACGCCGGGGTCGTGCGGTCCATGGCCCTCTACGGCGCCCCTGTTTGGGCGCC